AGCGCTATATTTGTTTAAAATGAAAATAATCATTTTGCATTTGATTCTCAATATCATCCCGACCAAGATGAAGACGAATATCAATATTTTCAACAACAGAGGCGATAATGAGAATCCAGCCACGAATGAAGAAAAACAAATGTTATTTTTGATACTCAGAGGTTGCCTAGATCAAGGGAATGTGTTTATATCAAAATTCAAATTCATGCAGGTAGTTGGTCTATCTGTTAAGGTTTTCTTCATTTTCAGCTAAATTGAGTGTAGAAGAAAGGATTTTTAACAGCACTGGTCGCAGCATGAGATCACTGTTTGTTGTAGCTCGTGATGATTTTCGAGTGTGATCTAGTCTGAACCTTTTAATCACTTTATTTAGAGACTCTTGTGCCTCTTCAGACAATTGTCCGATAGGAACATTGAAATGGAGAATTATGTCTGATCCGTGCATTAAAATTTTATGGACTGTGGTGGGCAAGTAAAACCAAGGGTATAGGGTTACTAACAACTGAGCTGTTTCTAGACAATAGTTCTTGAACTTAGATGCATTGATTTCTCGTCCGGAAGACAAGACCTGCAAAATAGTTCAGTAACGTTCAATCACCTGCAGGTCGACACCCAAAATCTCTGCAGAAACTGCTGCATTCTCAAAGAAACGTCGCGCAGTATTCCCATCATTCGAAGAGCCGGCTCCATTGCCGCGTGGCATGTCAACAAGAAGTCCCAATTCTTGTTTGAAGCGTTGTTGAATAAGCTGCTTACGGACTTTAACTTTTTCGGCATCAGGTCCAGAACATCTCCATTTTTTTGACTTCTATTTTGTAGCCCAGGTGTAGAAAATATTCGAAAAATCTGTAGCAAATTTGAATGGATTGAACAGCGTTATATTGCATTTTTATTACCTGATTTTTGCATGGAGAACTGATAATCCAAACTGAAATACTTCTTCATCGATTGGTCGCAAAAGAACATTTTGAATATTATTCATTTGAGTGGGTGTAGCCTTGCAGATATTACATCGCTGTGCTGATTTGGTGGTCGTAACAGCATTAACAACTTGTCCATCAATCATGGTCATATGTAACCTACATTTGACTCGGATCCGACGACCATTGATTTCGAATTCCGTTGGCCGAAGATTTTAGATCTGATTATCCACATGCTCTTTTTCTCTGAGGGTAACTTCAGTCGTCTGGTTAGTGACTGAATTCGTATGGGTCGGCAGTATCTTGTTGAGGATGGTATAGGGTTTTAAAACAAAATTTTTGTGTCAGCTTCAGCCCTGACAGGAGCGATGGACGTTAAGAAAACATTTGCGTCTGTTTTAGTTCCATTCTCATCATCGGCAAACTTTTGTTTGTACTGACTGTGACCAGTACTACCGTCCTCATCAGGGTAACCTTCAATAGCTTTGAATCAGAAAAAAAAATTGTTGAGTGATGAACCTTCCAGGATTCGTTTGGCTATGTGGTCAAGTAATGCTTGTAACTGAATTTCAACTACAGTTTCTCAAACCAGAAAAAAGTTCTCCGGTGGGTAGCAGGTTTTCTTAGCTTCAAGTACTCTGTCATAACTAGGGTAAATATTACAGTTTCGTTTCTTGGCTTGTGTTCGCAGTTGGTTGTATTCATGCTTACTAAGACTCAGATCCACAATCAAGGCAACCGCGTCAAGTGGGCTGTATGCAACAATGGAATCTGTGGGTTTATCCTGATTTGCTGCATCGGACGATCCCACTGTCAGTTCTTGCAATAATGACTTTGCAACATTTTTTTGCCTAGTATTTGTAAGTTTCATTTGAGCTGCATAAAGTAAATCTTCTGTATCGTATGTCGTTCGAAGGTCAAACGTTTTTCTTCTTTTGACGGCCTCAGAACTATCCTTGAACGATAACGTTTTACGCCCACGTTCGCTCCGCTGTGAGTTCATACCTGAATTGGATGATGGTAGCTTCATTAGAACATGATGTGGCAATTGAAACGACTCATCCATAAAACTAGTATGAGCCGCCAAAACCTTGCTTGCAGTTCGATTGTGCTTCAACCACATTTCTTGGAACCGCTTGCATAAATATCGCACACATTCTTCAACTTCTTTCGCCACGTCGGTTTTGATATCAGGTTCTATTCTATACAAATCAGCAACAAACTCGTATATTTTGCTAATTTTTGTTGTTAAATCTCCACCGGCACTCCGCCAGATTGAGAATAATTCCCGTTTTACAATCGAAACTACAAAAGTTTCAAAATTATACATCAGTGAATAACAAATACACAAATCGGATCATTTTCAGAACATTTTTTTCTATTGTAAACATACCTGCGTTATCAGAGGCCATGTTGATTTTACACTTATTCAGTACGCTCCACAACACAAAGCATTTTTAGTTCAACCACTGGGGAATGACAACAAGAACAAACAATAAGTGTGCCTGAAGCTGATGTGCTAAAGCAGACTGGCCAAGATCTCCCGAACACTAATGCAGCGTGTAAACTAACAGCTCTATGCAGCGAATCCAAACACATAAAGCAACCAAAGATACAAACAAAACGGTTGCTACGACTACCATGACAAACTCGCTCTGTAACATAGCTCGATCAGAGTGGTAGAAGGATAATGCAATATTGCTTGCCTGCTTTGTTGCAATAAACACGGATAAGGACATGAATCGAGAAAAGACTTAAAAAACATTCCCATTAACACACGTGTATCATCTTCGGTTTTACTGCGTGAAGCAGCTTGCCAACATTTTGCTCTTTTCCTTCTACCGCCCCGAGTGAGCTGTGTCGCCCGAGCTGCTTGTCATGAAAAAGAAGGAAGAAGATTATATCATTATAACTTTCCACTTCTGACATTGCGTTATCATTCGGTTCGTTGATCGCTTATCATTTTGTCATTTGGAGATATTTTTTATTCCTTGGCAATGCTGATACTGCATTCCCCCGAAGAATGTGGTTGGAACAAATTTCACTCTTTTCTAACCAAAATATATATTGACAACTGGAGTAAGCTAAGCACACAAATTGCTTGTCTTAGAAAATGTTTTGTTTAAATTAATCATTTTTTGTTAATGCATACATACAATAAATTTCCTTGTTGTTCACGGATGAGTTTGATAACATCTGTTTCTATAATCCGTAATTTACCGTCCATAAATGAGGAGACAGGGTTATTTTTATATAGAAAAATGTCAAACACGTGATCATTCAACGTGACCCTATTCACTCACTATATGCAGCTGAAATTAAGGAAAAATAAATGTTAAAAGTACTATAACTTTGAAAAGGATGATTTTAGCCACATACTGTCTTGAGCAAAAACATGTATTTATATGTTGTTTACATTTTTCTAGAACATTGTTTACATCAAAAACTATTATAAAAAAGTTATACTTAAAAAACATAATTTAAGACGTTTTCACCAAAAACGCTTCATATCTTTGCAAGTATTCGTTATACAAATTTGGTGTCTTCAACAAAGTTCCATATTTGTGTAAGTACTACAACTTTGCTTAAAAAACTACACTTCTATCTCTTTTGCAAAAAAAGTTAGTTTTTTTTTTATTTTTTTCACAGTATGCCATGACAAATATTGGTAGTTGTCATAATATGCGCAATGTTTTTGTGAACAATTCTTCTGAAGACAGTTTTTGGATTAAGTTAATGGTTTGACCACAAAACAATTAAGTTCACCAAATTGGGATTTCCGACCACTGTGCGTCGGTACCGTACATTGTTGATGACGGAAATTTTTGGGCGCAGTTTTACCATTACCAGGGTAGTGGTCAGAGTCGATGTTAGCGCCACGATAGGTCCTGACGTCGATAATGTCGGAGAAGTGCCGTCCATCAATCAGAACGTGGTCGATTTGCGATTCCGTCTGCTGTGGTGATCTCCAGGTGTAACGATAGGGGAGGCTGTGTTGGAAGAAGGTGCTACATATGGTCATGTTCTTGGAGGCGGCGAAATCGATGAGTCGTAGGCCGTTCCCGTTCGTCAGCTGGTGGGCGCTGAACTTTCCAATCGTCGGTCTGAATTCCTCCTCCTGGCCTACCTGAGCGTTTAGGTCTCCTATGATGATCTTGACGTCGTGGCTTGGGCAGCAATCGTACTTGCGGTCGAGCTGCACGTAAAATGCGTCCTTGTCATCATCGGTGCTTCCGGAGTGAGGGCTGTGCACGTTGATTATGCTAAAGTTGAAGAATCGGCCCTTGATCCTCAACCTGCACATTCTTTCGTCGATCGGCCCCCAACCGATCACGCGCTTCTGCATTTCACCCATCACGATGAAAGCTGTGCCCAGCTCGCGTGTGTTGCCGCAACTCTGGTAGATGGTATGATTACCTCTGAACGTTCGCACCATGGATCCTGTCCAACACACCTCCTGCAGCGCTACGATGCGTAATCCACGGTCCTTCAGTAGATTGGCAAGTATTCGGGTGCTCCCGATGAAATTGAGAGATCGACAGTTCCACGTGCCGAGGTCCCAATCACAAGCCCTATTTCGTCGCTGGGGTCGTTGCCGTTGGTCTCGGTTCGTATTCCTCTGTTGCTGATATTCCGTTGCAATTCGTTTTTTACGGCTGGCTCGCAGGGCCTGACACCAACCCCCTAACTTTCCGGAGGACCAGGGTACACAGTTGTGCTTAGAGTCCTTCACTGGCACTCGGACGTAGATCAGCCGCCCCTAACATGGGGAACAGACGCTGTTGTGAGCCGCTCCTCCTGGAGAACAGACGCTCAGGCTTGCCGAAGCAAACCCTCCCTCCCTTCCCTGTCACCCTATGACCAAAGTTTCTGGACTCCTATTAAGAAGAATAATACATTGTTTATGAAAATGTTTTTATCAGCTTTGTCATCAAATTCAATTTGACTATGATTGAATCGAACATCTAGAACAAATCTTCAATGAATAAAGCTACCAAAATGTCTTTGACTTGAATCCAAACGAAAAACACCTATGATCAAATATAACCTTAATTCTATCATCTTCATTCTATTTTCCAGGTTCCAGTGGCAACCATACTGAACGATCTTAGCCCCGTGCCAGCGCCTGTGAAAGTTACCAATAAAATCTCCAACTCGAACCCTATGAGTCCTATGAACCCCGCCGGGCTACAAAGTAACTCGCCGGACGTTAAGGCCATGCGGTAAGTGTATACTCTATTTTCCGGCACACAACAGTTCCTCCCTCATTACAAATTATGATTTTCATTAAACAACTGAATGCGAAAACCAAAATGAGAAACATTCATCCCGCATATGTATCTAAAGACAAAGGATAATAAATAACCCCACCAGACAAGTAGGTAGTCAGGAATGCCAACGAACGACCGCAGAACCTCGTCGTCGTAGCTGAACAGCGGACAAAATATGGGTCGACGTTCGGGTCATACACACACTCACACACGATGATCCCGTCGCGCAGCCAAACTCATAAAGCTGCCGAAAAACTTGACACAGCAATAAGTTTCACATTCCAAGCCCAACCCTTTCGGTTCTGTTCCAAGGGGGGGATAAAAGCTACAAGACTAATGAACACCATTCACCGCAGTAGCAGCCAGAAGCAGCAACACGCGTGCTGAAGGATATTCAACAAGGACCACCCGAACGATGGGGGTCCTATAAAAACAGCAATAAATATGTTTACACCTGTGTATCCGTTCCCAAGCCGGCAGTCGGATGTGAACGAACGGGAATACAATGGGGTAATTACCATAATTAAATATGGGGTTGTTCAACGTGGGTAACCTGAATCCAAGTGGGGATCCTACCGGGTCGAAACCGCTGGGAATTTAAACTATTTTCAAATTTTCGGCAGCACAGAATTGGGACGCTGCGGAATGTGTTATTATCTTTCAAAAATATTAATGTCTCTTTTTAGTGGAGCATTTATTCAAGATTTCCAAGTGTGTACCAGCTGTGAATATTTAACATTCCGTTTAAGTACATAAGCCGTTAATACATATCCAGAAGAAGGATTAAGTCCAATATCTAAGAAACCTCAAATAAGCCGTGATGATGGTGTGCCCAAAAATCCTCCCAGAGCAGATGCTTTGAGAACATGTTCCGCAACTCCAGAGGACTTGATGGTCCTATTCTAAAGGATTTCTACTAATTTATGCAAAACCCAATCAACTGGACAACGAAGACGGACGGTAGCAACACCTGGTTGGTTACAATGAAGAAATCCATCAAATTCCTACAATCAAATTAAATCTACCTTCACATCAGGAACCGCAAAACACCGCAGGAGCCAATCTCCGAAGCCCATTTGTCTGCATACGGGAAAAATTTAATTAAATAACACTTCCATATTTACGACCATCCGAGGCTTGGCTTCTGCTGCAGCCCCCGGAAAACCCTGTTCCTGGGAAATGTTTCAACTGGGTAATGTGTGATAGGGGAAATTCACAATTTAACTCCGACTCCGGTTGGTATTTTCCGGTGGCTCTTTGCTAAAACAACCGAGACCAGGCAGCACCGTATTTGCGAACTGTAAAAATATCCTAAATGAACGCACGGTTACGCGCCAAATTAAGCCATAAAGTCGGTGATTTTATCGGCGCAAACCCGTTCCCAGGTATGCAGGCAGAATTTCGCAGATGACACAATAAAGCCGTCAGGAAATTTCTCACGTGGGACGTTGATGCCGACTACAACGACGACGACGACGGCCGCCCCCCACACAGATGAACATGTAAAGGAAGAAATGTATACATACTTGCGACGGAAAAGCTGCCGACATCCATGCCGCCGACGTTGCCGTCGCAATATGATACCCAATTAAATCACATTAAATTACGACAATATATCACTTTCCTCCGCCGTCAACGGGGAATTTTTCCGAAGGTTTGGGAGAGAATCGGTGTGCTTTCGAAGACCCACACAAGGGAGACGAATTATGAGCTTTTGGATTTGCGGTAAATGACGGTGATCGGTGGGTCTGCCGGTAATGCTGGAGTATTATATTCGATGTCTGTGAGGGAGGAAAGTTGTCACGATATTAAGCCGAAAACGATTGACGACATGGCATGATCTAAACAGCCAGATGAATGTCTTAGGGAATCATGTTGGTATATATATTCGGGTGATAAAATCTGGTAAGACTTCGGCTGAACTGTCGTAGGCTATAGCAATAGATTACCTGTGAACAACAATTCTGACACGAGGCATTTGATCTCGTTGGAGGATTTTCTGTGGCCCTCAAAATCCATAGATTAGCCTTACAAATATCCCAATTTATGGTATTATGCATCCCTATACAGACAAACACCCTTCACGTTTACTTTACACGCAGGAATTCCAGGTGAATTTAGAAAGTAAAAGGTTGTATTCAAGACACGACCGCAGATTTGACGTAGGAAAACGTGCTCGGTATCAATATTCGGCAACTGTGTTAGGAAAACCACTTTTTCCCATCACGGAAACGCCTTGTTTTCTAATGACAAAAATACGCATTTTCGTGACCGCACGAGATTTTTGGTTTATTCAATAGTTAATAAGATGCTTTTCGCAGGCAATCGGTGATAATTTTGATCATCATTGCAACAGTTGTGTGATTTTCAATAGTGACCTATTGAACATTGATAAAGTGTTCATTTGAACAGATTTGTAGAAAAATTTCCAATCGATTGGCTTGTTTAGAATTAAAATCCATCCGCTATTGACTGAGTGGGCTAGTGGACAATAAATAATGCCAATAATGCGTGGACAATAAATAATGCCATTACCGGCCAAGATTTGTAAAATCATGAAGTTTGATATGTCGCACGATAGGTTTTGGTTCTTGTCGAGAATTGGCCACTTCCCCGGGGGCACCGAAACATTTCCGGGATGCCCAATGTGATCGTGGACCGTCGGTATTGCTGCCATTGGTCCAATTACATCATTTGAGAGAGAGAGAAAACATGATCTTAATCGTGTGTATATTTATTAGATAAAAGTAAAACCGAATGCCGACTAAAAGTGACCCTAACGGGAACCAGAATAACTCCGGAACCATGAATTGATCCAAATATTTTCAGATGGATTTAAGAACTTCAATGGATTCCCGACAAAAGGCAATTTGTTGTGAAGAAAAAGATTGAGAAATTATGTTTTAGAGCTAATTGAATTTTGAAATCTATGCAAATTTAGACGTTAGGCCAGTGCTTTTATATTAGCTGGCGACTACGAAATCGAAATGTAATTATAACAACCTTAAAAAAAATTATGCCAAATATCAACTGATGGCCACTTAAAATAAGTACAATAATGACAAAAACCTAATTGAAGCAATCCATCAATTTTTATGTAAAAAACCAGATACTGGTAAGCCTAGCTTTTATATTTATTATAATTTTCAAAAATAAGACATGTGCCGATCATAAGAACAAAACGGTCTGCACTCTTAAGTAAATAAATAAATAAATAAATAAATAAATAAATAAATAAATAAATAAATAAATAAATAAATAAATATATATAAGTAAATAAATAAATATTATAGGACCGCGAATGGTTCGCCAGGAGAGACCTCTTCATCCGGAAGACCAAAGGGGTAGCCCTTCCCTGGACGGATGTCCCAAGGTTTAACGACCAAAGATTCCTGTCCCGGTTAAGAACCGACCACACCCGCATCACCCACAACATGGGGAGCAGCAGTGGCAGAAACTTCCGCCAAAGATGCGACACCTGCAGAACAATAATGACGGTCGAGCACATTCTAATAAACTGCCCTTGTTTCCACGGACCACGAGAACTTTACGGGATCCCGGGCAACATCCGAGACGCCCTTCAGAACGACCCGGTAGCAGAGGCACAACTGATATGTTTCGCGAAGGAGGCCGGAATCTACAAGAGGGTTTAACCCAAATATATTATGACAGTAGGCCCGGCATTCCCTGCCGGTAGCGGGTGCCAGGTCTCTCCTGGCAGCTGCTACCGGTGGGGCTATGCTGGGGTCCTCAAAACAAAACATAAAACACAAAAGATGACAGCAACATAGGACAGTAAGGCAAAATAAGTTCCCCTCTGGAACCGCAACTACCATTCAACTCCGCAAAATAAAAACTCTGTACCTTCTCTCCCTTTGGGATACCCCCTTCTGGGGTGTCCGGGAACGAACCAGCCCAGGGCTGAAAGTCTCCTTAATAAAGATAATAAAAAAAATAATAATAAATAAATTAATTTATTTTATAATATAAATATATATAATAATAAGTAAATAAATAAATAAATACTTAATAAATCAATTAATAAATTTATAATTAAATCAATAAATAAATAAATATAGAAATAAATAAGTAAATAAATAAATAAATAAATAAACATGTGAATAAATAAATTCATAAATAAATAAATAAATAAAAAATCAGATTTGTTTATTAATAAATAAATAAATAAATAAATAAATAAATAAACACATAAATAAATAAAGAGGGGAATTTACGTATTGGTTTGTTTACAATCTTTTGCTGTCAGCTGCTCTAACAATTTAAGTCGAAATAATTGTCAAAAACTGCTTTGAAACGCTTTTACAAAGCTCCAAACTGGGCAACACCTTTTTATTCGGCAACCTTTCTATTTGAGCTGCGTGTTAAACAGCTGTGCTTTCATCGGCAACTTGAAATCAGAGCATTTTTTAGGAAAATCCTGCAAGATTGCTTTTTCTCGGTGGTAAAAATATAATCAAATTGAAGCTGAAAGCCTAAAGAATTGTTTGAATGCATTCAGGAAAGTGTTTACGTGAGAAAATCCAATGAAATTAGCGATTCAATTTGGGTTGCCGAAAATAGTCTGTCATGCCAAAGCCGTCATTTTTCAAATAAATTCATAAATGAATAAATAAACAAATAAGTAAATAAATAAATAAATCAGTAATAATAAAATAAATAAATAAATAACTAAATAAATAAATAAATAAATAGATAATAAAATAAATAATTAAATAAATAAATATTAAAGAATTAATACATTAAGCCACCGGTGGCGTAAATTTATGAATGAAAAAATTAATAAATAATAAGAAACTAATAAATAAAGCCATCGTTGGCGAAATTTAAAAAAAAATGTTTTAAGGCGAATCAAGGTAATTTCTTAGATGATCCTTGAGTCTTTTGGTATTTTTCGACTATTTATGCATTACATAGTTTGAAATATCTAAGACAAATTTTGGCATTTTCAAATTTTTACGTTTACTACAAATTCGTAAAAAAGTTGGTCATTCATAGACTGGGTAAGTTTTTACTCAAATACATACAACTTTCCATTTCTCGATATTGAAGGAATCATCGAGATATGGAGAGATCGCCATTCAGAATAGTAATTTATTAGCCTACTAATACGATTTTAGAAGCACTTCCGGTTCAAAACATGTATTTGTGTATCCTGTATTGAATCCAATACTCGATCGCTTACTTCAAACGTAGCAAAAATTAAAATAAGCAACAATGCAAGTTTTGAAGCATTCTACAAGTCTAAATAATGGGCTACAACACTATGATAAAACCAACATTGATACTTGGGTAATTTGTTTCCAAATATTGTTCAAGGAACAATCGACATAGAGAACGATCGAGATAAAGAGAATATCGAGATATAGAGATCTGAAACCATCGAGATGGAGAGAAATATCGCGATATAGATCATCGAAAAATGAAGAGTTTACTGTATGAGTAAGCGTGATTACCTCTCACCCCAGCAGGCCTGGGTTCAATCCCAGTCGGCGCCGCCGGGATGTTCTGAGGCATAACATCTCTGATCACGCCTTCCTTCGGAAGGGAAGTAAAGCCGTTGGTCCCCGGTTCATGAGTTGATGGATCGATAGGAAGGGTCCTGGTGTGGGAGCTGCCACCCTGGCGTCGGTAGCATTGGTGCTCAGCACGGAAAACAAGATCGACGGTAAACAAATCAAGGGAAAAAAAACATCATTACATCCATTTCCCCTACATGGAAATCGCTGCGTGCTAAGATTGTGATTTTTGCTAATGTAATCGTACTTATTAAAAATAATTCCAGTGCACCAACATTGATGCAATTTTGGATGTAGGTTTAATTTTTTATGCAGATTACGAATATGCATTAACCTCAATATCCTTAAAGAACCCAATTGTAGAAGATCTAGTAGATCATTTGATCTGAGCCCGAAATTTTACGAATTTTGAAATTGTACGTATTACCCATAAACACATTGAAATGATCGATAAAACGATCAACAATGAACTTTGAACTAATGAAATTGATCCATAGAAAATCACGTTTGCTCAGTAAAAAATAAACAGCTAGATCTATAAATTAGACATATTTTTTTCATGATTTCATTTGTAATTTGGATCCATAAATAGAAAAGAATACACCACTGCTCACTCGTTGGAGCCAGTAATTTCCAGTAAATATCGAAATGCCCTAAACTTTAAGTGATTTATCTAAAAAAAACCTTATTATGTTCGTTGACTATATGTTTTAGTATAACTTATCCGTGAAGTCAACGATTTACATAGTTGAAGATGCTAATTTCAAATAACAAACTGTAGTGGTAGTTTTTATACGATAGATGGAGTAGATGAAAGCATAGAGTTGATAGTTCCGTTAGAGTACGGCAGTGTGAAGATTGCATATAGATATTAGAATAGCGAGCTAGGACAACTTTTAAGGAAGGTACAAATCGGTTTTTTCATCTCTCTTTACCAAACTCCCCCTTTGGAGAGGGATGGTGAGGGGTGTCCCCCCCCCGCCACCACTGGCAAAAAGAGATGAAAACCGACCCGCTCAAGTACCAACGGTGTGTTTGAAACAGTTCTACCGATTTTTTACCGCACTTCAGTTGTTATTTTGAAGGAAGGCATCCAGTCGTAGGTTTGGAAATTGCAACTATTGCCTAGTCATAGACGCTCGTCAAACAATTTTGATAAAAAAAAATTCGGACCCATAATTTTTCTAGGAAGAATAGACTTACCTGAATGCCATCCTATGTTTTTTTTATTAAAAAAAATAATCTTCTTTCCGCCTTTTTCATCCCGCTCACAGGTACTACAGATTGTGGATCTACACATGCAACGCTGTGCTCTTGATGGCGGTAATTGTATTCTGTGGCGTTGCGGGCAAAATTCTATTCTCCGACTACAAGCGTTTGCTGGTGAACGGGCTCAGTCTGACGCAGCCGAGCTTCATTTACGCGTACCTAGCGCTGTTGGTGCAATCAGGTTCGATTTCCCCCAACCCGATCCAAATTTCGGACTATTCTAATGATCGCATTCCTTCGTTCGCAGGTTTCTTACAACTGATAGGGTGTCTTGGTGCCTTACGACTATCGGAGAAATTATTAAACGCTTACTGGTCGCTTTTACTCGTATTGTTAATAGGCGACGCCATGTTGGGCATATTTTGGATGTTCAAGTTCGACAGAGTGATGCACGATCTGCAACCGATGCTGAAGTAAGTGGGGAAACGGATGGATGCAGTAGTTCATTGGAATCCAATTCCACAGATTGTAATCGAATCAACGTTTATTGATGCGAGCTACGAATACTCATTCATATATGTGTGGGCATAGGGAAAACAATTTTGATTGAAAGAAGAGGCGTGCACATGCTGTTGAATGAGCTCTCTCCTTGGGCAAATTGTTTTCAATGGTAAATTGTCATACAAAACAAATTGATTTCAGGAAAAGTTGCTACAGTTCTAGCAGAATTAAAACCGTCTCATATGACACTCTTTCTATTAAAACATCTTCCAGACAAATAGCTAATCACATAAAGCTCAACATCCCCTCGAAAGCCTGTGCACGTCCGTAAATAGATTAGTTGAAACCCAACGAAGGCTACCAAAAAGAGAGTCCGAATAATCATTTCCATACACTCCAAGTCCACATTCCTCGATTGCCTTCAATCTGATACAATCCTTCCTCTTTTTCCAGAACTCGCCTAGCCAATGAATATGGAAATTCAATCGAATTAACCGATCTCTGGGATCGGCTGCAAAGCGAAGGCCGATGCTGCGGCGTCACTGGACCACAAGTGAGTATACCCACCCCTCTATGTAATATCTGTTTCCCCCCAAGCTGAATCGATACCCATAGGCTAAATACTCTTCAACATCATCGTCATCAACTAAGGACTGTTCAATTTATAAAACGGACACATTAATTTGACGATATCTTTTTTATTTATCATCCAATTTAAACATGGTTTTCTGCATTGCAGATTCTTATTACTCCACAACAATTATAAAATAAAAAAGTCCACGAGATGCTTTTAATGATACAACTGACGCACTTTTCCACGAACACCTCTCATAAGCTTCTTTACAGTTTTCTGTGTAACCTTTCGGCTAGCAGATGACCACATTTTCTTGAACTCGTTGACAGATTGTGCTTCTCTACCATCCTGCCGAAGGTTGCGCTTGATGCTTGCCCAGTAACGCTCAACCGGACGCAGTTCTGGACAGTTTGGTGGATTGTCCTCTTTCTCGACGAAGTTGATCTTATACAACTTCATCAGTTTGAGCATAGCAGAAGCGTAGTGGGCGGATGCAAGGTCAGGCCAGAACAGTGGAGAGATCCTGTGCTGACGATACAGAGCAACAAGTCGTTTTTGAATGCATTCTTTTCGATAATGTTCACCGTTAATGGTTCCTGTGGTAAAATACGGCAAAGTTTTATTTACCACATGAACAAATTGCTTGCAATACAAGCACTTTTTTGCCAAACTTGTCAATTTTAATGGATTTCTTCTCATGAGGTACATCCTCCCCAACACAATTACATTAAAAAATTGTGACCTGGGTAGTGTGGTTGTGTCCAGTTTGCAATAAGTCTTATCATCCATTAATATGCACCGTTTGATTTGCTTCCTCAAAATTGTATCAAGCTTCCGGCATAGCTCTTTAGCTCGTTTGTGCTGTTCCGCGCTCCGTTTAGGCGCTTTCTGTTTCCTATAAGCCTTGATATCCTTCCTCCTTTTTATATTTTGGACGGTTCCGACGGATATTCCCAGTTTTTTTTTTGGCAATCTTACGTACAGAGTTAGATTATTCATACAACAAAAGCTCAACACATTTCTTCTCTATCTGTAGGTTTGCAGCACCGCTTCTGGTTCTGGATCTTGGCAAATCTGCAACGGTTTGGTGCTCTCCAAACATTCTGATGATTTGATGTACAGCAGACTTCGATCTTTTCACAATTTTCGCAATATCTCTACAAGATAGTCGCTCTGAGCAATATTTTTGAATAATGAAAACTCGGGTTTCTTCATCAATTCGTCCCATGTTCCGAAATCAAACTGTTTTGACAAAAACAAAAAACATCTATGTTTTGTCAACAAACCTTTGTACACGGTGAAAATAAATTCATCAAATTGGGGTAAAACGTTAGCTTTCTATCGTCACATGTAGATGTCCGTTTTATAAAATGAACAGTCCTTAAGGGTAAGGAATCTTTAAATTCGCCCATATAGATCATATTTCGTCTGCCAACATAAAGAAAGTTTTCCTAAATTCAATTATCACGGTTGAAAATGCTCCCACCCTATCAAATTTCGTCCACCTAAACAATCTATACATATTTCCTAAAATTTTAAAACGCGTCCCTCACCCTACCGGATGGCATTTCCATGTTTGACAAATCAAAATTCCCCCTGGGACTCGTCAAACCGAACACGACTAAATGTGCAAAACTACTATCGCTACTGTCAGATCGGATTTATGGAGTGCCACCAAATGAGAGGAGCGGTCCGGGACAAAGCTTTAAATTTGGTTAGTACAGTTTTAGTACTACTTTCGGCGCAGCTACCAGCACTACCGATTCCGATTGAACGAACGGTTCTCGGTCGATCTCGGCGATGGTGTGGGTGGTGGTGGTGATGGTGAAAGCCGCAAGAACAGTTTCGGAATTCATTAGTAGTGAACTGTAATTTACAGGCCAGTCTCATTGGCATCGGCACCGTCTGAAAACCGGTTGGTCTCTAACGAACGGGACGTCCAGGACGATGGCGAACGGGAAAGGAACGAATGTGTAAGCTACCATGCGGTAGACCGGGCGCAAATTAGAAATGAATGAGTGTGTAGCATTTGCTGTAGGTTGGCGCGTAGCTCCAGCCGGATCCAACGAATGGTTCAACTATGACCATGTGCATAGATGGCAGGTACAATCGTTCGATCAAATATTCAAGCGATGTCTAATGGCATAACAGTTTGCATACCATCGACGGGGGCCCTTCGGGCGATATGAAAATTTTCACACTGGATCATCGGTTTACACAGATTAGCACGTGAAAGGACCAAGGATTCAAATATTCATTTCAGCTGAAAATGTTTTTCGGAATAAAAAAAACCAAAAGATGGTATGATCACATGTTTTACTTAAAAGTTACAAGAAGTCAATTTTGCTTTCATGAGTCACAATCACCGATTTTCGGATCGTTGAGTGAGTGAGTGAGTGAGTGAGTAAGTGAGTGAATAAGTGAGTGAGTGAGTGAGTGAGTGAGTGAGTGAGTGAGTGAGTGAGTGAGTGGGTGAAAAATCGCTGATTGTGACTCTCATGAAGTGAAATAAACAGGTTTGGTATGTCAAACACAGAGAACCATTGTTTTAGCTGAAATGATAATTTGCAACCATGGAGAGGAAAAGATTTAGTTGGATTTTTTAGAAAGCAATAAATAGGGATGCAGAAGAGTTGGACTTCACTTAAAATCAGAAGCCAGCGCCGGTGGTGTAGAGGTAAGCGTGACTGCTTTCTAACACCCCGATGGGTCTGGGTTCAATCCCAGCCGAGGTCGGTGGGATTTTTCTGAGGCATAAAAATCTCTGGTCACGTCTTCCTTCGGAAGGGAAGTAAAGCCGTTGGTCCCGGCCCATGTGTGTTGAATGGGTGCGATATCCTACGCAGGTGTGGAAGCTGCCTTCCTGCACATTCGATTGCCGTTAATGGATGGCAATCGATGTCCGTCGGTGATTGGCACTAGATTGCGGAACAGAGACTGACGTTAAATAAAGGAAAGAACTTAAAATCAGAAAAAAAATTAGTACAATCTGCAAAAATCTGCTCGAATATGAGGAAAATACATACATACATACCATTCAGGCTAAGCCTTTGATGTCCTCTGCTGTCCGAAGAAGTCGTCTCCACTCTACTCGATCCATGGCCACACTTCGCCATAATCGTAGTCTGCGAAGGTTCCGCAGGTCTATGAGAATACTTGTATACTGAAAAAAGTTTTCCTTGATTTCCCTCATATTCGAACAGATTTGTGAGGAAAATTGTACTCACTAAGATGAGATTTTGAGTGAAATTCGACTCTATTTTGAGTTGATCTCATCGGCCGTGTGCGCTAGGCGATGTACAGTGAAGCAGTGAACCCAGTAGCTTGGCCAAAACCTCTAGCACCGTGTGTATGCATTCTGAACATTTTAAGTCTCGGAGAAAGTTGCTCAGTTTATCAAGGGCCAACTTTTGGTATTTTCTGATTAGTTCGTATAAGTGGCACTCAAATCTATCTTTTAAACTGAGGGTCCTTCGGCAAAGTTATTGTTGATGCTGTTGTTCTTTATTTAAGACATTTTACGTCCAGCGGATGCATTCGTGTCTGTTTCAGTGGTTTGAGTGTAATAATGTGTGGTTGTGAGTGTTAGTGTTTATAATACAACTCAAATTTAACTTAGCTTTTGTCTCCTTTGCTCGTTTCCCTTCCTTCTAGTTCTGGTTCATCGTCTGCTTGCTAATTGCATTTCACCTCTTCTTTTCTATTCATTTCACCTTTACTTCTTCTATCTTTTCATTATCTTCTTTTTTCATCATCTTTGTTTTCTCCGTAGCCTTCGTGCGTTTCTTACTATCCACATTGTGACGTAGGACTACGTCTTTCTTTACAGTTTTTGGTAGGTCACAAGTCTGGCCCCGAGGAAGATCCGGAACATCCGTAAAAGTGGTCAATTCATGAAACTGATCCTAGAGCACCGCGGTTTTTTCAAAACCACTGATAAACGTTTTATCAGAATGAATTCGGAGTTGTGTTCGGAATATGGACTCTACGACAATCATGAAACTGATCCCAGAGCTCCGCGGTTTTTTCGAAACCATTTAAAGACGTCTTATTACAATGAGCTCAGAGTTGTGACCAGAAAATGGACCACTGGGGAACACGGGATGGCCCACTACAATGTCCGGAACATCCGTATTTAAAAGCGGTCAATTAATTAAACCGATCCTAAAACTCCACGGTTTTGTCGAAACCAGTATTAGGCATCTTCTCAGAATGAATTCGGAGTTGTGACCGCGATATGAACTCTGGAGACTACGGGATGGTCCTCCGGAAGATCCGGAACATCCGTAAAACGGGTCAATTTTTGAAACTGATCCCCTGTGGTTTTTTCAAACCCAACTCATAGACGTCTTATCACAATGAATTCGTAGTTATGACCAGAAAATGGACACTGAGGACCGAGGGATGGTCCACTTAAAAAATCCAGAACATCCGTAAAACTGGTCAATTCATGAAACTGATCCTAGATATCTGCCGATTTTTTAAAAACCGCTCATAGACAACTTATTAGAATGAATTCGGAGTTGTGTTCGGAATATGGACTCTGGAGACTGGAGATCCGGAACATCTGTAAACGTGGTCAATTCATGAAACTGATCCCATAGCTCCGCGGTTTTTTCAAAACCATTTAAAGACGACTTATTACAATGAGCTCAGAGTTGTGACCAGAAAATGGACACTGGGAAACACGGGATGGTCCACTAAAATATCCGGAACATCCGTAAAAGCGGTCAATTAATGAAACCGATCCTAGAACTCCGCGGTTTTGTCGAAACCAGTCATAGGCTCATAGGCATCTTATCAGAAAGAATTCGTAGTTGTGGCCAGAAAATGGACACGGTATGGTCCACTAAAAGATTCAGAACATCCGTAAAAGTGGTCAATTCATGAAACTGATCCTAGATCTCTGCCGTCTTTTTTAAGCCGCTCAAAGACAACTTATCAGAATTTATTCAGAATTATGTTCGAAATATGAACTC